AGTTCAATTTCTGTTTTTTTCGAGAGGTAATAGATAGTATAATGATTTACATGCCATTCAAGTAAGAGGTGATTGAGAAATTCGTTTAGGGGGCATAGCAGATAACATAGAAGTTGAGACTTGAGTGACAGTCTTGATAGGTATAATGAGCAAAACTTGAAAGTAGATTTGTTATACAAGCATGCATGTAATTTTTTGACTTTAAACGCTTTTCATTCAAAATCACTAAAATCCCTCGATTATCTGCTGCCGCCCCGTAAGCGAATTTTTCGATTAGCCCTTGCTTGAACGGCTGTGAATGTTACCCGTTTCCTCTCGAAGAAGGACAGAAATTTCACATTAAGAGATCTCCGAGCGGCAGATAAGTCCCAACTTCCAAGCAGCAACTCTCCCCAAAATCAATGATCAAACGAACCGATGGAGATTAAAACCATTCCGGTAACTCGCGAACGAAATCCGTATAAATTCCCGGAACTAAATACGATTATTTCGGTGGGAGCTTATTCAAAGTGAACTCACGCGGAAAGATAGAAACAGGGCCAGCTGGGACAAACTTGCAGGGCTAAGTATTGGTCCGTCGTCGTTATCGATTCTCACGCTTTTCCTGCTTCAGGTGCGACCGATCGATCTCTCGCAATTTACCACCTCATCGTATTCACTCGTATAAGCTCCCTTTTTCCGAGCGGCTCGGACAGCGTTGGCGTTTATTTCACATTCAATATCAATCAATAATCATCATAATTTCCATTCTGTTTTTGAGCAAAAGGCGACTTTGCTCGAGCCCCGGTTTTGGTTGACCTAATCATATCTAAATTGAAACTTTTAGCCAAAAATCTGGACAAACTTAAATTTATACGGCATAAAAAAAAAAAAAAAGTGGAAATGAAAGGAGAGAAAAAGAGAAACACCCTTGCAGATAGGTTTAAAAATCATTTATGAAATTAAAATGTTTTTAAAAAAATAAAGAAAGAAAGGATGAAAGATTCAGATGTTGTCTTTTCTAGATACATTTCATTGATAGATTCATTGATTCCCAAATTCTGTTCTGTTTTTTCCCCATATTCAGTCAGCTAGTTTGTTTCCCTTTTTTTTTACTTGATTCCGTAGCAGACTTGTGCTCATTAGCAACAGTCTTTGCTCTTGTTTCTACGTAAAACTTGCAAACAAATGTTCCCCATTTCTTAATAATTATAATTCAACAATAATTCAACGTGGCCGGTTTCAACTACAACTCACAACTTGACGTATTTTTACCAAACGGAACTATGTGCATTATGACGTGAGCCCTGCTATGCATCTATTCTCATGGGTCTCAGGGCTCATGTCTCAATACACATAGTTCCGTTTTGCAGAAATACCTACGTCTGGCAGAAATACGTATTTCTGCCAAACGGAACTATGTGCATTATGACGTGAGCCCTGCTATGCATCTATTCTTATGGTATGGGTCTCAGGTCTCATGTCTCAATACACATAGTTCCGTTTGGCAGAAATACGTCCAACTGGAACCTCGGATGAATCACAAGGGCCGATTAACGGGCTGAAATTCGATGAATCGCACACCTTGCGATATCCTCGAATCAAGGAATGGGGACAATTTTCTTCAGGCAAGGATAGCCACCCTCACCGCTGTTTGTGAGCACTGCAAAATCCTGGAACTACATTTGCATAATCTCTCCAACAGGTGACGCCGTTTCGAAGTTTCCGGCGCTGAATCAACTTTAAGAATTGCTTTTCGTCTTGCTCCCTCTAGATTGGACTAATCAAAGCGACTTCGCGAGCCAAACTGGCGTGAGCGAAAAGTTTAGCCATACCATCAACGGGTGCACCAGCTTTCCTCGGGCCATATTGAAAGGAAATGCTTTCTCTTGAGAGAGAGTGGCGGTTTTAAAGCGAAATTTATAAACACTTTTGGCAAAAACACTACTTAATGAACTACCGTTTGGAAATTTCCGACCAAGTACTCAAGTCTTTAAGGCAGGGAGAAATAAATGAACTTTTTTAGCGCTCATTTTCCGATTTTTATTCTTGTTGTGATACAGCTCCTTGCAATGCCATCCAAAGCTGAAATGTAATAAATTCATTCAAATTTTTTCACTTTATGATTCTGACAAAATCCTATTTCTAAAAAAAATCGACACACGTTCTCATTCGTCCAGAATGGTTGTTATGTCTCATACTTGAAAATGAAAACTAGAACTGAAAAAATTGAAGAAAGCTGGTGATTCTAGGTTCTCTAGTAATAGAGCAGTAATTAGAAGGAAAATCAAAATTTGGAGATGAAGTTAAGGCGTTATTAATTTTGGATGACAGCAAATATGACTGTCCACAGAAAAGGACCTCTGTGAATTTGGATACTCCTAAGGGCAATTTTCTTGGAGTTGAACGCAATAATTGGAATTGAAATTTTTAACCGAGAACACATTTCAATACTTAGAACTACGAACTATATGTGTCAATAGAGGGTGTGAAGTCTCTCTGCCAACCTCATCCCGCGAAGGGCACAGGAAGAATGCATTGGAGGCGCAAACTCAGGGGACGCCAAATTTCATAAGGGCTCCCTTCTTTTTGAGAAGAAATATCTTTATGGACATTATACTTCAATAGGAATTAGACAGAACTATAAAGACATCGAAGGTCGTCTCCTCAAGTAGTTATACATTTTCATGATCTCCGCCACATTTATGGGCACTATTGGATGCCTCGAAAAAAAAATGAGGGTCAACTTGCGTACTGTGTTTGGCATGAGATTAGCCTTTTTCAGGATCCTTTCACAGTGGCATTTGGTGAATAGGAGAGGCACTTTTTCATTTGCTATATTTGTTTTTCAGGTTTTCATTATATGCATTTTTTGCGAGTCGAGAACGTTCAGACCAGTTGAAGCTCAGAAATGAAAGGTTCTTTACTGACGCATTGACCGGGGCATCAAAGTATTTGCGTGGATGACAATAAATTGAGGGGTTTGGAGGACAAGGCGCGTAAGTGTACCTTTTGAAAAAATTGAGAAATTAATTATTTCACGTACAACTAGTCATAATGCATATTCTGTGAAAAATTTGCCCCCAAATTCCAATTTTTAAGCATCAAAAAGTCAATTTGAACCATCTTTCCGCCATAAGGATCTAAGTAATTTCGAAACTTCAAACACGTATTCCTCGAAGTAGCAGAAACTGCACTTATGCGCCTTGTCCTCCAAGCCCCTCAATTTACCCTTGCGACAGCCCTGGTAGCATACCTACGAATGTTTGGGACGCATTTTTTTCACTTCAGTTTATTGCTGCTGCCTGGATTAAGAGGACCATAGGAAACACGAGGTCTGCGAAAAACTTTGCGTCGTAATTTTGATTGGATTTTAATGCTTGCTACAGAGTTGGGCGGGCGTGATTTTATGCAGTCCGTAATTGACCATCAAATCGAAACTGCAAGGCGCGACCGAGGGGCATTTAACCCATAAACAATGAAAACCCCATTCCCGATTTTATTTGCATGAGGGATGAGAGTGGGGTGCAGGCTTGGGATTAGCCTCGCAAGCCATAAAAACATCCATAAAACTGTAACCCCGCACAAAGGACGGAGGTTGAAGTTATGATGACCAAATGTATGATATTTCCGACATCATAAACACGCCAAGCATAATAAAATCCTCGGCGACCGACGCGACGGTCCGAAAAACTGCAGACGAAAAATTATTTCTCGTTCAGATTATAAATGGACCTAAAGGGAAAATAATGAATAACAATATGCCTTGATAGTTGGGGATAGCCTGGTGAAATCGTGTGCGAAAGTGAATGCCTTTTGGATTCTATTTTCTGCTACTAGAAAAAAGGAGAGTTTTCCCCCGAAATCAATAAATGAGGGGCTCGGAGGACGAGGCACATATGTGCAGTTTTCGAAAAAAAAAATGAGATATTAATGATTTCGATTAGAACTAGTTTTAATGCATATTTTGTCAAAAATTCGCTCCCAAATTCCAATCTTTAAACATCAAAAAGTAATTTTGAGGACATGAAATTTTCGAAACCTCAAACACGTATTTCTCGAGATAGCCACCGTGCTTATGCGCCTTGTCCTCCAAGCCTCTCAAATATGCTCTTCATATGGTTTACGAGTACATATTCCCAGAAGAGCCCGAACCAATAACTATATAATCTCATTATACGGTTGTTACAACATTTCACACGTAGCTTTAGTGCGCTGACTCGATACTTTGTATGTAGTACACTATTTCAAGAGGGGAAGTATGTGTATTATTGACTGTGTTTCTTATCGTTAAGGCTGTAAGGGTTTTCTCTCTTTATTTTTCTTTTTTTTTCTTTTTTCTTTATACAAATTTTACTACCCACATATCGTTGCTTTTCTGACGTAAGGGCGTATCATAATTTACACACGAGTCTTATTCTCCGTGTAACTTTATTCTTTCCAGGGCTCATCTGGAAGTAAAGATATACGCTCTTTCGTCAGCGAAGCGATGAAATAAAGAGAAAAACACACAAAAAAGGAAATAAATGTATGATAATTTTGAAGCATACATTTTATGGAAAATGGTAATTTAAAATATGAAGATTCAATAAGTATACAATTGCATTGAAGAATAATACAAGATTAACTTATGTTTGGATTGGTTGCGGTCTCAATGACGTCATTCATGAGTGCCCCGATGACGTTATCGAGGGACGTGATGCCCCCAAGATCTCATCAAGAAGGTGACGTCATCGAACGGGTACCTCGCGTGTATGTATACAGGGTGTCTCACGAAAAAGGAGCCACCTTGAATATCTGCCGAACGCGTCGGAATTTAGAGAAACGGCAAAAGACGTGTTCGTTTATATCGAGGGGGACACCTTTTGGCCTTTTGGCCTCGATATAAACGAACACGTCTTTTGCCATTTTTCGAAATTACGACGCGTTCGGCATATATTCAAGGTGGCTCCTTTTTCGTGAGACACCCTGTAGAAGGAAATTATCATATTTGGAAAATGCAATCGGAATAATGAAATTACCTTTATCATGAGTAGAATATGCTTGCATTTGTCGCGCACGTCTTCGAAAGGACACAAGTTGGCCAGGGACGCTATGGAGGGAACGTGAAGGGATATGAGGGAGTAGCAAGGAGGCGGGATCGTGTCTTGCTCCGAATCGTTCGAATGGCTCTGGGTAACGACCTCGGGACTGCACAATCCGTTCAGCCACTGGTTGAAGATCTTTTCGATGTGCAGGAGTGCAGCCTCCCTTACATGGGCCTCTCGGGAACAGAGCGGGAGTGTGAACCGGTAAACCGTGTCCAAATCGGCATAGACCTTCGACTCTTGGTCGTTAGTTGCGCCGCGGTCGGCCGCAACCCGCAATGCCTCTTGCCCCGAGCGGACGGTACGGTAGCACACGTACCTCCCATTACGCACCGTTAAAGTCGGTCGCCAAAACATTTCGGATCGAGATAAGTGGCGACAAGTTTCGCCGTCAATATGACTCCTCATATTTGGACTTTTTTTTTTGTATATTAGTATTTTAATTTAAATCCGGTGAACTCGGGAATTTTTTTTCTTTTTATAGTGTCCCTGACAGCAAGACCAAATCCCCGAACGCTTGCAAACTCAGGCTCGACTGTTTTGTTCTCAAAATGCGAAGAGACATTTGAAATTTTGAGGGACGGATTTTAATGTAGAATCCTTCGAATGATTCTGGCGTGATTTTGATGTAGGTCTGCCCCCAAGGCGAAAAGGTTAACTGGGAACGAGCCAGAGTTAGGTGTATTCTTCGGGAACGAGCCAGAGTTAGGTGTATTCTTTTGGAACAGGGGCTAAGATATTGGGAGGAGGAAGGACTAGGGTGAGCGGATCACTACGCGGCACGATGAGAAGGCACCTCAATACGTTTGACCGCTTCACTCACGACCTGGAACAAAATGTTCAATTTATAAAACTTGTGCCGCCATATGTGGGAAAATAGCATAGTATATGCAAAATAGACTGCATTTTGCAATCAGGAACTACAATCGCTGGCTCCATTTAGAGACGACGGATGTGCCATTAGGTCCCTCATACACTTAAGTGATTTTACCGATGGGCCAGATATTCTAGTTCCTTATTGCAAAATGGAATCCAAATACACTTTGTTGCAAAATCTGTAAAAATCACTGTGAAAGCCTCAAAGGTAGACATGCATGCAGTAAAAGAACTGAATTACGATAAATAATAAAAATATTATCGAAACATGCTAGGGTGAACAGCGTTACATAAGATAACAAAATAATTATATTATCATACTGTGAGCCCTTGATAATGGTTGTGCGGAATCGAAAGGCCTCGGCTAAAGTAATTTAAGTAAAATTATCAGTATTCAGCGTATTGGCTCCTCCTTTTTTATTTTATTAATAAAATATTGGTGCAATTTTCTGAGTCTCGTTGGTATTTGCAACTAAAAATGCACCATTACATGCACAATATCAGTCTTAATACCATGACTTCTCTAAATTACACCTGAAGTCTACGTTCCTAACGAAATTGATTTCGGTCTGCTGATACAAATATAGAGTCTCATTTTACGATCCAGCGAACCGCTTGCCTGATCGGATCATTTCGGTGGAGTCAGAATTGACGTGATGAAAATACAACCCCTTTGATCACAGAAAATGGCGCGGCGCAGGAACGGAGAAATCGCGAATAAATCATCAAAAGTAAGTTTTTGCGCCACTACCTGAGTGCGATGTTTTCCTCTCGTTTTTTGCCCCCCCCCCTCTCTCTCTCTCTCTCCCCCTCTCCCCCCTTCCTCCAGCACGGTTCAGCTTCCCTGCCGAGTCGAAAAACATCGAGAAAAATGGCTCCTCGTTGGTTGCCTTTGATCAGCTGAATATTACGCATGACCTGGTTAACGCATCGTTTTCAGGGAAGTCATTGAACGCGCCTTGAGAGAAAATAGAGGAAGCCTTTTTAAGCACATAATTGAACTGAGCTGCAAAAAAAAGGCTCTACCTCAAGCAGGTGAATGGGGAGCGTTCTGTTTGATTAATGTTTCATCTGAAGCTCGTTTGACAAATCCGTGGAGACCTATAAAAACTTCAACCGAGGCGCATACTCGCCAGAGTTTTTTCCGACTGTTGGGCTGCGACGCAAAAGGGGGAAAAAAAGTCGCTGCAGATTGGAAGCCCAATTAAAAATTATTTCTGTCATGTTGAGGAAGAACGCTCGAGCTCTATGAGCCTTTGAATATGATCGAGTCATATTTTTTTAAAAAAATATATATTTTTGCTCGAAAAATGAGATTGCATTTTTATTAATTGGTATTTTTAGAGACACCAGACTACTGCATTGCGCACAAAATTCATCAGTAAAATGGAAAATATGCACAAGCTTTTTTGAAAATTACAATTTTAACAGAAGGAGCCTGGCAACGTTTGAATGTTCATGCGCTGTTTTGTTGACCATTAAATTAATCATTTCATCCAATTAACTGATTAATATCAAAACGCAAAGACGAATGTTGTGAAGAATAAATTTTCTGATGGTTAATTGAATCATTATCACTCAGGGATAAAAAAAAGGACGACAATCAGCAGTTCATCAAAAAATACAAGATGATAGGCAGATTGCAGCGTCAGAATCCTTGACAAGTTTTTTCCTAATGTATCAGCATCGATTTTTCAAACTACACGAACAATTAAGATGCGTTCGAATTTCAAGAAAATATGTGCCTCTAAAGATGGACGCGACAATGCGACTTTCGCAAAAGCGCCTGAATGCACTTACTACGATGCTTGATGGATGTGCGCGTTGCATGGAAGAGTAATTGAAGGCACCAAGGATTTCATCTTGTCTTCGGTGGCATAAAGTATGATAGAAACTTTGTGACGTCACAAACCGAGATAAATGTTTCTTTAATTTCACCATTAAGGGGCTTAGACTGCTTAGAGGACAAAAGTAAGTGCAGTTTTTTTCAACAAAAAAATCGAGATATTAATGATTTCATGTAGATCTAGGCTTAAAGCATATTCTGCGAAAAATTCGCTGCCAAATTTCAATTTTAAGCATCAAAAAGCCAGTTTGAATTTTCTCTCCGCCACAAGGGTCCATGCAATTTCGAAACTTTAAACACGTATTCCTCGCACCATAATGCACCTTCTCCTCCAAGCCTCTCCATTGATATGTTGTGGGACTCATCTGGAAATGGACCGGACACGTTACTTTTCAACATCAGGTTTGTGTTCATTGTGCTAGTCCAAACCCGCATTTGTGGTGAAAGAGGGAGAGTTTTTACCTATTTTCAGTTTTATTTATTTTGGAAGCTCTACCAACAAGCCGAGAATCCATTTAAATGCACCTGAAGCGGAGCTGGACCCATACTGGTTTGTTTCCGTTCTTTACCTTGTTTTATTTTACCTTTTAAATTTATTCCCCAACCCCATAGCGTAATTGTTTACCACTCCATACCGGCCGCTCTCCGAAAACAGGCTGCTAGTAAACAAGAGTGAATTGAACACCGTGCAGTGTGCACCCATTCACTCCGTGTAAATATAAAGCATTTTTAAACTTTTGGTGGGCACTCCGGGGACGGTGTACTTGCTAATTGAAAAGCGTGAAATGAAAGGATGTTATTTACCTTGAAAGTTTTCAACTTATATTTGCGGAGCATTGACCGTGGATCATAAACTATGTTCGATATCAGGGACACGAGACGTTTTGAAAGTCACTATGGTCACAAGAATAAATGCTACTAGAGTAATCTCATTGAAACGTATCATTACACGTCATGAAAGGCGGGAATTTTACTTTCGTCAATACGGTGAGCCTTTAGGTTTTGGTACCTCAATTTCGTCGCTTCAAATTTTTCATTTTTGCTTTATTTTATTCATTTATTTTTTCATCGAAAATTGGAAGTTTGTGGCATAGCGAACCGAAACAAAATGGTTTTCCAGAGTAATTATTGATTTTCTTGTAAAATACCTGCGCGACACGTATCTTTTGTTCAGCCAGCTTTCTGCGCAGGAATCTTAACGAAACCGTTTACCGTTAAAAACATAGCGTCACCAATAATTAATTTCCGGAGTATGGCAACATTTGATCAAAAATTTATCCCACTGAACATGATTTTCAGATTACGTACAAACTTACTTAAAATTGTCTTCACAACTTCAAATGTAGAGGCTATTATTACACTCAAACCATTAACTAACTAAGAATGATGTTTTTAAATTAGTTGCTAACCATATCATTTATAATTCTGCAACTCTTGACCTCATTGTATCCATAATAATTTATCAACTGAAGATTGCGTAATCTAAAAGTTTACAAGTTTTCGCGAGAGCAAAAATTTACTTCCACAGTATACCTTTTCAATAACGTTCAAGCCTCTACTCCTTCTTCCTGACAAAACCCTCCGATTGTCAGAAACTATACCCAGAATTTTCCAAGGGCCTTATTTCAAGTCACGATACGAAGCGCCTTCAAAAACGGTGCATGCAATTTTACCTACACAAGCTTTTGCACCTCCTATATCGGCCTCATGCTTCATAGCATCATAGCTTCATTAGAATTAAGATCGGTATCGAGCAGATAATACATTCCTCTGAAACTTATGTACTTAGGCAATCATAATTCATGCGTTCGTGACGGTTAAATAACCTAAGAAAATTATCAAACCCATAATGGAGCACTATTCGTGGTTGAAAATTTCATCGCTTGACCATGTAGTGTCATTGCGTTGCTGCAATATATTCAATAGCTGGATATCAAATATGAACCTTTGATCTGCCATTATTAAATAATAATCGATACATGTCAAAATCAGCCGACAAATTGTTATTTTTAAGGACTTAAGATGGTTTCATGGTGACTAGTGTTTAATTAAAACCCTGGAAAAGGCTTTTCAATTGAAAAAAAACCAGCAGAATAACCTATCGTGGATATTAAATAACTCAAGAACTATTAAAATTTCTAAAAGTCATAAAGTAATGTGAACAAATCAAAATGCACGATTTTTTGGGGAGAAAGGGAATTGAGGGTAATTTCATACATTTAATACTCTCAGAAGCTATACTCACAAGAAAACTGCACTTTGCGAGGATGATTTTTAACTTTGAACACTCATTATATTTGCAAAAACTAATAAAAAACGCGGAATTTCTTTATACAAAATGGTGAAATAGCGGCACCACAGAGACTAAGAAGACCGAAGACTCCTGTCAAATCACGATGCAATCGCTTACTACTGTGCTAGAAGCGTTTGCTCTGTCTTGCACAATATTCGAAAATTCAAATCAGATCTGATAAGGCATCTTGACTGCTTTCGAACACTCATGGGTACAGGTTCATATTATTCATATTCCATTTTTATTTTTTATTCGTTTGCGGGAAGTTTTCCGGTTTTGTTACTGAATGCAAGAAGTTGTATGGCATCTTAGCAATACTGAAATGCATTAGATACCTTTCTACGAGACTCTTCCTCAGTAACATTTTCAGATCGAAACTTTCAGAGAAGCATGATGTTAAGTCAATCTAGTCCTCTTGTTGTAAGTTAATAATCATACATTCGACTCTCATTTTCCGTGCATGATTAAAATAAACGAATAAAATATGCATTTCCAAATGTATTCTGGGAAGCTATGTTTGTGCTTTTCAGCATTTGTATAAAAGAGGTCAATTCTTTTTACCCAGATCCTAGAATTAGTCATCGATACCTTCCTAATCTGTAATGAATGACAAAAATTCTCTTCCTAAACGATGAGTTACGCCAACAATAGCCTAGAACAATAGCATTCATCTTTTCAATCGATCGCCTCTCATTTGGAATGTTCCGACTCGAATGTTTGATCTGTCCATTACACGCTTAAAAGCGAACGATTCCAAACCATCACTCGGTTATGTCTTGTAATGAAACAGTTAACTCTCAATGTTATTGATTCGCGAGTTTATTCACCATCTTAACTTTAATTGTATTCTAAACGTGTCAGTGCATGGTTTGAAAATCATTTACAATCAATTCATCCGATTGTGAATGTTAGTCAGTTAGAATGCTGCGTCTTTTTGTATTAGTGTGTTTCTTGTTCTGTTGGAAAATCATCAAAGGAGGCATACTACAATCGCCTAATTATCAGCTACTATCGGATAAGGAAGTTGAAGAAATGCTCCGTAAATATCCAGAGCTCAGTGATAAGTTTGTGAGTAAAAATTAAGAAATTACGATGAATGAAAGGATTTTTATGGCCCTTCAGTTATATCCTGTTTAGTTAGAATTTTCTTTGTTATGAATAACGGATTATTTTAAGACAAAAATAAGGGTAGTGTCACCCCGGATACGAGGAAATGTATTTATGAACAACAAATCAAGGCACTGCCATAAGTGTAAGCCAAGTCCGTGTATCTGCACGCTTAGAGTAGAAAATTGAAACATTGAATCATTTTTTTTTTCCAAAAAATTTCAATAGGAAACGCACTCTCAGTGTTAATACATATTTTTGCACCAAATTTGTTACCCTCAAGATGTTTGCTAAATGACTGAAATGTATCCCAATCATCAATGCCCCTCCCCTCCCCCAGAGTTTGGTTGATTTACTTCAATTTCATTTTTTTCTCCTTTTTTTCATCTCTGTCGGCGTCTTGTCAGAGCGAAATGGATCTAGAATATCGGCGATATATACAAGAGGTTGGCTCAATTCTTTTGTCGGACACTGACCTGCGGGAGAAACTGGACGTACTTGACAACAACGACCTTTCGGTATAAACCATTTTCTTTGTATATACGTATGAATCTAAATACAATTCAAGGTAGAACCGATAAACCTCAAATTTTAGTGATTCAAATTCCCAATCTGAATATATTATTTATTTTAATTTTTTATTAGTATAATCTGATAATATTGTTTAAATTATTAAAAAATAAATTTTCCAAACAAAATAAAGAGTCTTCAGAAACCCCACGGTTAAACACCGATGGATGGTTTCAGGACAGTTTGTCAACGATTTTTTGTCCGCGCACCTTTTTTGTCCAGTAGTTCACGCCCACACGTAAAATAAGCAACATTGACTTGGCCCAAGCGTTATATTTTAGTCGGTATGTACAATTATATTGACAATATGGAAATGAGAAATTAAGAGAGAAAGAGGTGTTGTTATGGTTGCTCATTTTCTAAATGAAATGTTATTACTTTCTCCTTTTGAATCATCTTTTTAAATTGTCATTGGTGAATATTTGGTTTTATTTCTATCCTTAAAATATTCGATGTTTGGTTGCGCGTACACCTCGCTGCAGCACAATAAAAGCACAAAATGTAAAAGAAAAAATTAAAATGCTTTGGAAATCATTAAATTTGACACGGAACCACCAATATTTAAAAAGCACACATTGTATTATTATTCTCCTTTAGTGAATTGATACATATTTTTTCCCATTAATTTAAATGAGAATAATCAATGCAGAGTGTGCAAACATTTCAAAATCATGAGCTAAAAAACGCTGACTATGCGAGTATAAATACGTATTAAAGCCTAACAGAGCGGAGCGGCGTGCTGCCAGCGCGAGAGGCTCACTCGCGCCTACAAACCTAAGTGGATACTTTACGCATGGCACAATGCTTGAAGTATCCACTTAGGTTTGTAGGCGCCAATGCGCTGGCCGCCGCCGCGCCGGCCGCCCGCCGTGCGGCTGCGCCTGAAGCAACTATTTTACAACAGAGATGTTACACAGTATTATACGAAATTGAACGTATTAAGAATGACAGGCATCCTTTAAAAGTTCCTTACAGTTCTTTCCTCGCAAAATAAATCAAGATACTTATCGCACACAGGGAAAATCTAAGAGCCATCAAGATACTTATCGCACACAGGGAAAATCTAAGAGCCTTTAGCTGAGGCAAATGTAGGTAGAGGTTTGTCCGGTTCAGGTATAACAAGGTGGGAAAATCTTGAAAGATAATTGAGTCTTGTTACACCAAAGAGGTGTAGAGAGTTTTAGTGAATTTTATCTTATGGAATTGACGCTTCCCCATTTTTACCAAAACTCTCAACTATATATTATTCTCCGTTGGACCAAACAGACAAAACAAAAAAAACAAGCAAACCCTCATTCTTCCAAGACATCATACATTTTCAAAAACGTCGTGAGCAATGGTCGTTTGTATTTACATGTGGGCCCATTAACTTTGGGTCTCAACTGGCACGTGGACCAAAACTCGCGTGCCGAAAAAACGCGTGGACGTAAATTACTGGAAAAAACAGGTGCGCGGACAAAACATCGTTGACGAAGTGTCCTATAACCCCGATGGATTCCTTTTATTGGATCAACTATTGTGCATGCTAAGTTACGTTTGCAACAACTACATACTGATGTACATGGTTCTTGTCAAGACATCGATGTATTTTCATGTGCTTTTTTCAAAATATGCGACTTGAATGTATAAAATTAATTTTGAGTCTTTATTCAATGACGGTCGTCTAACAGGAGGGAGTACAATAAATTGTTGCATCGCAAGGGCACAGATCGGGGACCGCGGGGACGGTTAAGAAAAGCCGTAGCGCCTTCAATTGAATTTCTATGCAACACGCACATCCATTGAGCACGTATAGTTGTATTAAGGGGCTTATATACATTTCGCGTTATCAAGCTCATCAATTGTTCAGATGTTACTTGTTATCCTCAGTTCCTGTTAATGCCCTTCGTTTACCAATTTTTCCTAATTCTTTCTTTCAATACAAATACCAAAGCGCGACTGTTATTAAAATTTGTGAACAACCTTAATGTTCCTCTGAATGATTAGAACGGTAATATATATCAAAGGAGTTTTTGGTTTCATGCAATAATTTTTTTTAGCTTTTTTTTAAAATTATTTTCTTTAAACCTTAAATTGTCACAGTGAAGTGAACTGAAGCTCCTTTTTTGTTTCTTTTACGTTAGGATATGTTTAATCTGGGTTTTTTCAAAAGTGACTGATACTTTAAAGAGCGGATGCTCAAATTTTGAGAGTGAAAGCGTGGGTACAATTTCGAAAATTATGATTTTATTATGATATTATGATATTAAAGAAATACGTGTCTTGATTGTTGTGTTTAAAAATATCCATCTTTACGTTATTATCACGCAGAATTGTTTGTGTTGATTTGTTGTTGTGTGGAAAAGACAAAGGAAAGTCAAAAGAAAATTCACGAATCGAAAGATAATTTGACTTGGCGGTAAAATTAAAATAAGTTGAAATTCGGTATTGACACTTAATGCGTGGCAAGAATTTGCGATGTCAGAAATTGAGATGGATATAGTTCTCTAGTTTCATTGTTGGTAGATTCTATTCTTCGTGTATTATTTTCTTCATTTGTTTATTGTTTTCAGTCAGGTTTGATAGCAGACGAACTGGATAAACTGAAACCCGAGTTACGATCAAAACTGAACGAGATAAAACGAGCAGAACTTGATCGATTGCTCGCTCGATGGCGAGACCTCGCAAAAATTACTGATCGTGAACCAGACGGTGTAGTGCACTTGGACACGAAAAATCCCCACTCTTTCGAAGCCGATGATCTCCGATATCTCCTTAAAGCGGTAAAATTTAGACTTCTCTGGTACGGTCAGGTGTCTTTTACATTCGAGAATGATGTATAAGTCATTCTCGCAAAAAGGATTTTTAAATATCACAAACGTGATACCTGGACCGTGTAAAAAGAAAAATAATTAAAAGCCCCACTGAAAGTTCATAAACAAATTCTTGCGTTTAGTTTGAGGTAATCAAAATAATTTTTTATTCAGCTTTGACTCGGCAACAAGAAATAGTATTTTCTTAAAGTGCAAAAGTTGACCAGTAGTTTTTTTTTCTTCAAAGGTAGTATTAAACAGTTGAAAGTGGTGGTGAATTAGTGTTAATTGATGCACTCAAATTGCTCGAGGAGGTGAAATGAAAATATGCTGATTCCACACCAACCAATTTTTTATTATTTTCCAGTCACAAAATTGACGGAGGTGATTATCAATTGTTACTAATAAAATTTAGATAGCCGAACGAGATGTAATTGTATTTGTAGACGGTGGATGATTTGAACAAACTAGATCAAATGCGACGACAAGCATTCAAGAACCACGAGATGACGAAAAAAATGGAGGAAGAGGAGAGAATAAATGCCATGGGAAGCGAGCAAAGGAAAAGTTACTACGCCCACAAACGCAATTGGGCAGAAATCTATCGTCAAAGAGCAAAGGTTAGTGATGTTTAAGTCCGATCATGCTTCTCGGTGGTCCTCCTTTCAACGCATCCTACATTTTTCTAGGGAGAAAAAACAGTGTCCAATAAAACGATCTTTAATTAATCATGAATCGAGTTCGAAAGTGGGGAAACAGAGCACGTCGTCTTTATACCAAAAGGGCACAAACGTAGGTCACGGTCACATTTTGAGAGGTGCTTATCTCATTGTCACCTTAAATTTTGAGCTTCAGATTCTCATACCTTCTTTATTAAAAAAAAAAAATTAAAAAAAAAAAAAAAAAAAAAAAAAAAAAAAAAAAAAAAAATAATCATGAGAAGAACGCACGACGCATTACGCCCGAGGCGCGAAGCACATCGGGGACCTCAGAGAGTGGAAACGGGAAGCATTCAGGGAGCGTAACCCGGATAGCCTCCTAGTGTCCTACATTTATTTTCTTGTTTCAGCAAGTTCGGCACCCTGGAAGCGAGGAACAATTAAAAGATGTTTGGAAGCATACAGATCAGATGAACTTCCAAGATTTCAACCCTACTTTATTTTTCCGCCTGCATGGTGAGTGCTGTTGTTTCCATGAGCTGTCGACGGCGAAGATAACGAAAGCACCTTCCTTAAACTTCAAAGCAAAATTGCGCATGTACAGGGTCAATACTTCCTAAAAAACATACCTCGTCGGCATTAAATAGGCTACCAACTCATATGGGTAGAATTCTCTTTCCTTATTTTTTCTTATTTTCTCTTCGTGCTCCTCTTCTTCCTCTACTTTCTCTTTTCCCCCTCTTTTTCCTCTTCCTCTCTTTTTTCTCCTCTTTTCCTCTTCTTCTGATTTTTTAACTTTTTCTTTACTTTTTCTATTTTTCTATGTCTCATTCTTCTTCCTCTTTTCTATTTTTCGTCTGTTTTGTCCTTTTCATTGTCTTTCTTCTCTATTCTTGTCCCATTCCTTTTTCCAGCCTTTGTTCCTCTGTCTCTCCCCCTCTTTCCTCGAAACATATTATTTCCTGTTCTTTTTCCTCAATCTCCTCCTCTCCAACTTTGATTTTCCTTATATAACAGATATATGTGCTTTCATGGACACGGATAAGCCAGAAATAATAGTTCCAAAGTTCAAAATGTGGTCAAATTAAAATCATTAAAGTCACATCTTGTCTGTTTTTACATGTGATGCCTTATAAATACTGCCGTGCTAGAGAAACATGCCGTATGAATATTCGAGAGTTGCCGAATTTCCTTTCATAAAATGTTTATTTTTGAGGAAAGTTATTAATATTTTTCCGAGAAGTTTTCAAAAACTGTAGGTAAAATTGCAAGCAAAATTATCTGAAAAATTGGAAGAATAATGTTCACAAATTTTTCAGAAAATTCGTGATTTACCAACGGAAATATGGCAACGCCTGAAGGTTCAAGGACAGAATAGGTAGGCACTATACGTCGAGCAGCTTCAATATTACACTGCATGGCAGCCGTTTGTGTAAAATTAGTTTGAATGGACAATAAATTTACAGATATGAATAATGACGGAGCTCTAGATGAACACGAGGTAAAGGCTCTTTTCATCAGAGAAATCTCGACACTATACAAGAAAGAGGATCCTGGTTTTGACCCGGCGGAGAAGGAGGAGGAAGGAGAGCGGATGCGAGAACACTTCTTTAGCGAGGCTGACACCGATAAAGATCGAATGGTCACGTGAGTATTGAATAAAGTTTGATTAAAATTTCAGTCGTTTTGATTCCTTGCTATTCCTCTTCTCTGAAAAGTAGCGTACACAATCCGAAATGCAAGAAGCTTGATGCTCGATATCCTTTTGAACATACTCAGGATTTGTGAATCTTCTCTCATCACTAGTTCTGTCAAACAATAAAGTGATTGTTGATGAATATATTCGATTGAGGATTCATTTCTTATCCTACTGTAAACTGTTATTCATTTCTAATGGTTCAAAACCGTGTTCCTATAGCTATGTATTTTAATGAATAGCGCGTTGCTTTGTTGAACAGGTTGCAAGAATTCACATCCAATTTGGAGAATTTAAAAACGCACGAAACGGGCTGGAATTCTCTTTTTAGTCGGCCATTTTTTACTGATGAAGAATTTAATGCGTTCATGGAAAAAGTCATACCGAGGAGAAACTCCATAAAAGTCAGTAAAACACAAGGAGCTTTTTTTCTTTTTTTGTGAGGGTCAATTCTAGATGACCCAAGTTATTAGCGGTCATGGAACCTTTTATGATTCATATTTGGAGATAATCATCTGTAGAGATACGTAATCATCCATAGAGGTAGAGATCCACCTGTAGAGGTAATCATCTGTACGAGGGCTGTCCCAAAAGAAACCGGACTTTTGTCATAGAAGGCGAACCGAGCGTCGTAATGAAGTTTTCTTGAGCTTTTTTGAAAGCTGATAAGCTACTGAAGATGCTTGTTTTTACAGAATGCAAAAATTCGTCCTGGTAATTAAGGAAACTACACGCTTTGGAATAAAGGAAAGTCAAACTCGAGTTGCGATTTTTGTCTTTATTTCAAGAAAAATTTAGATACAACTTAAAAAAACCCAGGTTTTAAGTTAAAAATTCGTTTCTCTCCTATTCAAATGCTTAAAAATAAGGAAAATAACATTTTAAGCAGCTTACCAAGTCATAACCTATCCCTTTCAAAATACTCGCCAGCTTTGTCGATGCATTTTTTTCCACCGTTTCTTCAACTGGGAGAAACACTGTTGGAAATCCTCAGGTTTGAATGATCGCAGTTCCTTCAAGGTGACCTGACCTGGCTCCGTGTGATTTTTTTCTTATTTCCACGACTTGAATCTACCTTGAAAAGGTCGACGTTTTCAAACCATTCCGGAAATTCAAGAGAACACATTGTAGGAATTGCGATCATTCAAATCTGAGGACTTCCAACAGTGTTTCTCCCAATTGAAGAAACGGTGGCAAAAATGCATCGACAAAGCTGGCGAGTATTTTTAAAGGGATAGGTTATGACTTGGTAAGCTGCTTAAAATGTCAATTTCCTTGTTTTTAAGCATTTGAATAAGAGAGAAACGAATTTTTAACTTAAAACCTGGGTTTTTTTAAGTTGTATCTAAATTTTTCTTGAAATAAAGACAAAAATCGCAACTCGAGTTTGACTTTCCTTTATTCCAAAGCGTGTAGTTTCCTTACCAGGACGAATTTTTGCATTCTGTAAAAACAAGCATCTTTAGTAGCCTATCAGCTTTCAAAAAGCCCAAGAAAACTTCATTACGACGCGCGGTTCGCCTTCTATGACAAAAATCCGGTTTCTTTTGGGACAGCCCTCGTAGGTTGTCCTGTTAAAATGCATACGTAGCCTTATTGGACTAAGTTTAAACTTTTAATTGACGTCTGTTGAATTTGTTGTTTGGATCAGTTGATGTTCAACAGATGTCACTTCATGCTGAACCGATATCAATTGAGCCTCAAGTGATACGTAGCAAATTTCAACTGTTACCTATTGAGGCTCAACATATATCTATTCCAATCTTCAATCTCCACTGGTACCAACTGATACTCATCAAATATCTGTAGACTTTCAACTAGTATCGGTTGGTAACAGTCGATATCAGTCAAAAGCAGTTAATATCAGTTAAAAACAGTTAATATCAGTTAAAACCAGTTAATATCAATTCATTTTCTCTACTGATCTCAACTGATCATTTTTAACAGGGGAGGAGATTAGCAAAGCTTAAATCTGTATAGATTTAAGCTTTCACCCAATTCCCTCGTCCAAACTCCAATGGACGTGGATCATCAGCTACATCTCAGCATACCTACTTTTAACCCGTGTCCAAAATTTTATTTTAAGTGTAGTTTGCTAGCTGCTAGGCTACAAGCACTCTCTTCTTTTATTGGCACTAACCAGAGTAATTACTCCTTTCCCTAGATGAAACTGACAAAATATCCAAGCCCATGTAAAAACAGTTCTGCTACAAACCCCCTCCCCTCCCACCTTGCGCTTCACCTATGGAATACCACTGAGTATAGTCTTGGCGGCGTAGGCACTCCCAACTTTCCCTCACGTTATACTCTGCGGTAGCTTACCAGAGTATGAGATCAGGTTTAATCCTTTACTGGGTTACGGTCGTCCGACAGCAAGCATAATCGCACAGGGGCACGCAGGTGTACGCTGTACGGGTCGCTGACGGTTGAAAAAAGCCGTAGCGCCTTCAATTCAATTTCTATGCAACACGCACATCCATTGAGCACGAATAGTTGCATCAAGGCGCTTACATACATTTTGCTTTGATAAGATCATCAACTGCTTGGATACTGTCTGTTATTGCAGGTTCATGTTCACAAAGTATCCAAGCCCATGAAAAAGAAAAAAAATCGAGCTGAATCTGAAAAATTTTCTCCCTCCGACAAAAAAAGGGGTAGGGAATGTGTATGTATGAGCCGCTTTTACGGCGCGCTAGGGCGCTCTGCGACGCCTATTCTCCACAGGAATCTGTCATGGTAGAGATCCTCCGGAAGCTGGCATCTCTCCATCTCTTCATGGATGCCCTCTACCCACCGTTTGGCTGGACGCCCTCTCCGTCGCCTACCTGGGGGGACCCACTCCAACACCTTCTTCGGCAACCTGGTATCAGCCATTCTCTGCACATGCCCATACCATACCAATTGCTTGGTCATGATATCGTGCACAATCGTCCCCTCAACGCCCATTATCTCTCGGACACGTTCATTCCTGACCCGTTCTCTCCTCGAGATTCCAGCCGATCTTCGCCAGAAATCCATCTCGGTCGCCTTGAGCATTTCTTGGGTCCGCTTCTTCAACTGCCACACTTCACTGCCATAGGTGATAATAGGCTTGACAACCGAGTTATAAATCCTCTTCTTGTTGTCTTTGGAAATCCTTTGGTCCCAAAGGATCCCATTAAGCATGGCGATGGCTTTCCTTCCTAGAAGATTACGGTCCCGAATGGCCTGATCCAGCTTCCCATCCGAAGGGGTAGGGAATCAAGATGCAATAAATTAAGAATTGGCACGTGCGTCAACAATGTTGTCGTTCCTCTGGCGTAAGGGCGTATCAATATTTCCATATGAGCCCCAGAAAATGTAGAGTCATATGGATCATAGGGCTCAAGTGGAAATTAAGATACGCCTTACGTCAGAGTAAGCGAGGATGTGACCGGTGCTTCTTATTCATATTTAATCGAGATTTTTTATTCCATTTTATTATTTTTTTTTTTCATCAAAAATGGTCACCTATTTTTTTTCATGATTTTTTAAAAATTTCATTTTTATGATTTGATAATGTATAATTTTTTTAATAAAATATTATATGAATTTAAAGAAATGTATTGCTCGTATAATATTAACAGTTTTCGTAGATTTCCGGTTTAATTTCGTCTCTTAGAAGGAAATTTTATATAAAAGTGCGAACCTGACCATCAATTGTACATACTTTTATGATTTTATGTATTTTTTCAGACTAAGCTGGAGGGATACCGTATGAACCATATTGAAATGTGACCGTTAAGTCAATCATGAGTATGACCTCTGTCTGGTAATATATTATTCACCTTGAAGTAAGATTCTCCACAATATCACTCTCGCACCTCCTACAGGAGTCCAAACATACGTTTCTCCATTTCATTCAAAATTGCGTTCATAAATAAACTTTTTGATTTGGATTTTACTTTGCATGAAACATGGAAATCACTCGGCAATCACTATAATTCTTAAAAAGAATCAAGTTCGGATCGTTAAATTCCGCTTCTTGATTTTGCTTTATGCAGTTGAAATGGTGCCTCGTTTTAATCATCACTGGAATACAGGGTGATTCAGGGTTAACTACGAAGAAAATGGGAATTCTAGATAGAAGTTCCTTGAGGTATAACATTTTTTCTAAAATCCTACTTCTAGATTTCCAATCTCTCAGCAGTATTTATGAGATCTAAAATGGATCTAAATGGAATCTAATTCAGGGTTGACTACAAAGAAAATGGGAATTCAAAATAAAAGTTCCTTGAGGTAGAAGATTTTTTCTCAAATCGCTACTTTTATATTTCCAATCTCTCAATATTTATGAAATCTAAAATGAACAAGGAAAGCTCTGAGCTGCTTCAGAAAAATAACTATCTTAAAATATTTGATCTTTGTTATAACATTTAAAAAAAGATTGCTTTTTTAAACTAGGGGTAGCTTTTATAGAAACAATATAAACCACGATGAGGCCTAATTTTCACTCAGAATTAACCATTCAAATCTCGAATCTCGAAGGAGTGGGCACTCCTAAATCACCCTGTTTCTATGTTTCTACGCACTCGATCGAATAAAATATGCTTACAATGGTTGCTAAAATATACGCAAGACACTTGAAGAAACACAGGCACTGATCCCATAAAGTACATAGCGTTCAATAAATCTCACACAATAGACATGAACGCGCATGCAGTTTGCACACTCTCAATTTATCAAAAGTGCAGGAACCGGCACGTGGTACAGTTTTACCAGCAAGAAAAAATGCATCCCGGATGGGGGTGTGGTTTCAATGCAATCCGGAAAGAAAAGAAATTTATGATACGGACGTGAGAGAGCATAAGGAAAATCTTCTCATCAATTGATCCAGATCCAACCGTTCATGCCAGGATTTCAAATTATTCCCTTCTCTTTTATTCCTCTCGTGATTCTCGCTCTCTGCTTTTCTTTCGGACTATAAAACAGGATTGATCGGGGGAAATTTACGTTAGTTTCGCGTGCCGCTCTGCCGGCTCATTTTCTTCAGCTCCATCGATTTCCAGTCGCATGAAAATGGGGAGATTTCTCACGCCAAAGGTAGCCCTATTCACTGAGTCTTGTGATATTTTTTTCCAGAAAAAAGTGATAAAAAAAACTATATCGATTTTCAAACCACGGTTTTTGAGGACATATCATTGCTCCTCTGGCGTAAAGGTGTATCTAAATGTTCACGTGAGCACTGGGAGACGTGGAGTTTTATGAACAATAGGGCTCATCTCAAAAAAGAGTTATGTCCGTAAGTCAGAGGGGTGGTGATATATATAATTGTAGTTACAAAACGGTGCTTTGAAAAAAAAATGGTCAATACCATTGTAATTGCATATGACAGATTTTTGGGAAAAGGGATTTCAAATGAAAGCGTTTTTGACAGAATATTTATGCTTCCCTGCTTCAAGAGCAATTTAGTTTTCCACCATTTGCCGCGAAAATACCCTAAAATTAAGAAAAAATTGTGGAATGTGTCCGAAATTAAGAGATTTCCTCTCGGCAAGCTAAATTAAACCAATTTCTTCATTTTGTGAAGAGTGGTGAGGTCAAATGTATGATCTCTTGCCTCTCATCAGTTCCTATTTCTCTCAATGAAATGTTATTATTTATGACACATCAATCAGTTGGTCCACAAATTAAGGAGATAATCCTTTTGAAAGTACATGAAAAGGTTGCTATTCTCGTTTGCTTTTCATTCTTTTTTTTTTTTTTTTTTTTTTTTTTTTTTTTTTTTTTGGAATTCCGAAAATAAAACCGGCTGGTGCTCATCGTCCATTTGTGACCTTGTTATTAGTGTACTTGTAAAAATTGGACGCATTTCTGTCAAACGGAACTAAGCGCCAATTTGAGTTCCTTTTGAGGGATTTAGAATGCTGGATAGCGCGTTCTGTCAAACGGAGCTAAGCGCCATGGAAAAGCATTGAGAGCATACGACGGAATGATCCCGGCGCCCGGTTTCGCCGCCAATCCAAGCACCCCTCTACCTTCCTCACTCTATGGCGCTTAGGTCCGTTTGACAGAAAAACGTCCAATTGCAAACACAAAATATGCTTCATCGGTATACATATCTTTTATATGATTTTTAATGATTTCCGTCGTACACATGTTGTATTAGGCATCAGCTCTCCTTTTGATGGCCATCTTCGGGCTTTCAAATTGTTGGGAATTGGACATTTGGACGGAAAATCGCTACGGTGGTGATCACACGACTCTCTCAGGGGACTCGAGCTCGTGCCGCGACCTGCACGACCATTTCGACAATAACGTGAGCTCTTTAAAAGTGAAAAGCGGTGGTGTCAACGGCTACCTGGATCATGGATGTAAGATATTCGCACTAGTCTTCACCGAAGGTGGTACCTATGATGACTTTTCTAACAGAGAGTTCAATAATATGATCTCGTCTTTTGGTTACGGATCAAACTAGTTTGCTGCGGTCAACATGCTTCGTTTTCAATAAACCATGCATAAGTTCCAAATCTTCATCTATTCATTTATTTTGAAAACCACCCTCACGATTTTCATACCAATATTGAACAATAGCCACTGCTTTAAGTAAATATTAACGAAAGGTTCCTCGTGTGGACGGGAGGGGGGGATTATTAAAATTTAGGGACTCTCACCTACGAATTTCAAACAATTTCGTTCGTTCGTGCATAATGCATTTTTCACATAGGAATAAGTTAAAAATTAACGAAACAAACTTAACAATTCTTCTTTTTCTTTCTGATCGGTGGTAATTCTAATCTCTACTTGCTTCTTGTTTATTTTCTAAGAATAGCACTCAGCAAACTTTGAGAATATTTTTAAAATGGTTTTTTAGTGATATCCATCACACGCCGTTGTCCTCGTTTAGCCGTTCGTAAAAAAGGATCAGTATCATCCCTTTTATTGATTCATTCTTAGAATGAACGGCGTGAACTAAGGTTCTACGATTTTTTTTTGATTTTTTTTGAACCCTAAATAGCAAAACCTCATTTTGCAATCTCTAAAAATGCGACCAGTCTGAAACGATATTTTCAGAGGGCTTTTCTGACGTAGCCAGGCGGCGAAAACAGCGTTTGCTGATCATGGCCGGATTTACCTACTTGCCGCCCATGGGTCGCCTGTATTTTGCCACCCTCTTCTCATTCATTTTGAAACATCAATAAAAACCATCAAGTGAACGTGCCGGAGGGAGAAGGGTGCATAAGACGCGTTCACTTGTGTTGGACACATTTTTTGCGTAAGCCCTGTCAACACTACTAGCAAACGTTCACGTAACTACGCGCGAAAGTTCAGTTCCGTAAACCTATCTCTATGTGGACAAGGCCTTTCATTTGTAAGAAATGAACTAAAAAATTAAGAAAGAACAAACATAAATGTGGTTTAATAATTTTAACTTCCGCCGCCGTGCCGCGCTGACCACACTGTGTTTGGCGCAATGCGTGAAGTATTCATGCAGTCTTGTAGGCACTGTGCGTTTCATGCCGCGCCGACCGCTGTTGAGCGTACTGTGTTTGACGCAATGCGTGAAGTATTCATGCAGTGTCGTAGGCGCTAATACGTGTTACATGCCGACCGCCGCGCCGAGGGCTTCTTCTTTTCATCTCAAGTCCTCGTCATCATTTCTCTCTGCGCCGCGCCGCTCCAGGCCAAATTACGTGTTGGGCTGTTGGGTTTCTCTCTTAACTCAACTAATTAAAGGTGCGCAGTTTTTTGCATCACCGAAATACGACAAAATTAGAAATTAATGAACTCTCAGGAAATGAGAGATTTTGTCACCTTTTCTTGTTTGTAATTTTATTCTGAAGCCGATTTTTTTGTAGGTACCTGCATTTAAAGAAATTGAAAAATTTGCTGCCCCCTCATTTTGCCGCCATGGGTCGCGGTCCATGTGGCCACCCTCTTAATCCGGCCCTGTTGCTGATTGGCTGATTTAAACTCAAGGCTTCGCTTTGCTACGTCAACTCGACCGTCGGCTTTGGATTGGTCAGATTTTTTTTTAGCTTTTCCTCTCTTTGGAAGTGCTTTGTTGAACTTTTTCATGAAATTTTGGCAGTTTTCACGAGATTTTACGCTTGGGAAGCCACGCTTAACCCAATGAAAATTTCTTGCAACTGCTCCATTTTAGAGATGGGGGAGAAGAATTTAAGGCAGCAACATTATCAATCGACTGTCGTGATTACGTTATCATTCAAATCCAAAGTTTAATTCGGGCCTCGAGTTGTAATGTTATAGGAAGTGAAAGTACACAAAAATATCACTCGGTTTCAAGTATGTGGGGTAAATCTACGTGTGTAAGCAACATGTAGTATTTTTTTCTGTGTGAAAAAAAAATTAACTTTTAACTTTATGTAAACACTTAAGAAGCTATTAAACACACATCTCTCATTAAGAAAAGGGTAAGTTGGTATATTAGCTAGTTAACGTTTAATTTTCAGCCAGCAAGTTTGAACTTTAAAATTTTACGATTTTGAGATGACCAACAAATTTATAAATACGTTTTTATTTTTTAAATTTGAGTTTTTACTCTGATCCGACCATCCTCTTTGTTGGTTTCAAATATAACTGTAAATCACTGTGACTATCATCACAAATTTTTTTTTTTTTTAAAAATTGAAATAATTATTTAAACGATTTAAAGGCACTGAAGTACGTTACATGACTAAAATACTGGTCTCCAGCATAGGCTAGTATTCCAAGGAATGAAAGTTTTCCTCCACCTTTTCTACATCCATTGTCAACCAAAAGAGAAATACAAAGCGCTGGTGAAATATTATCACCGCAATCTAGAAGTTGATGTGTAAGATTTAATGCCTCTGAGCACTTTCTTTCTCAAAGAAAAAAAAGTTTCTAAAATTTGAAAAGGAACAACAAGGAACAACATGGAAACATGTTTTAACAAGGAAATGTGTGTAAAATGGCGACAAACCAGAGTGAAACTTGTAAAAAATGTTAAGTTTTCCGCTAAAAGAATCTCAAAATACCTAAGCGTGTCGGACTCTCACAAGGGAGTTGTCGTATATTGTGCACTGTGAGCCTCTTAACGCAAATAATGAGATTTCATCGACCTCGTCAATCTTGATATTGTAATTATTCATTTTGTTCTCAGATAATTGATCTGCGCTGACATGAAAATTGTCCTATTGTCTTCATGCATCATTTTATTTGTACGGACCTTATTTGCAAGGAAATTGAATGAAGAAAAGCTACGGGAAAAGGAAGTCGGTATTTTGTTCTTGCTCACACAAATGATTGAAGGGCAAACAGTAAAATGAAACTAAAATCTCATCTTTGTATAAAATTTCAACCCCCCCCCCAAAAAAAGGGAAATTTTTACGTCTATCTAGCCAAGAAATCACCCAAAATCCTTCCTTCACAAAAAATAATGAAGGATAAAAACGAATGAGATGTATGATTTCTTGCCGAGGCATATCTAATGAGAGGTGTTTGACTCTGGGTTTTTTACGTTTTTCTCAACGCTCTTTTATCGTCCTTTTGGACATTTTATGGGATCAAATAGACCAAACTCCATCAGGGAATGCAGTGGATAAGCGCGTCGGGCAAATGCTGAATAGATGTCTTACAGGACAATTGTGAGGGGTACACGGTACAGGCTCTCTAGTGCAGTGTCAAAATTCTCACGGCCTTCCCTTCCTCTCCTAAATGAACTTTTTTATGGGAATTATTTTAACAGGGGTTGGACAGAAAATTAATTATATCAAAGGTTCCCTTGTATGTACGCCTCAGTCGCACTTCTTGTTGCCCTTTTTGTCTCCCTTTAAATTGTAAAGTGCATCCTTGGAGGGCAAAAAGGGCCTTTTTGTAGACATGGGTCTGCACTAGGAAAAGACCTCACATATTTTCTCCTCAAAATCTTACGCAGGATATGATTCACGCGATGAAAGGTCCGAAATCCTGAACTGGATGTGAACAAGTATTTTTAACTCAGATCATACTCCATGGGGGGAGCTAGATTATACAAATGACGTCATTTTAATTTTTGCCATTTATCCAATGTCAATGTATTGTAAACACTCGAATATCTTGTTCAGGAGTTGATTTATAGGTTCCCGCCGTATGATTCGATTTTCTAATATATTGAGCTTTGAAGAGATTGCCACATGTTCTTTCAATTCATACCGTGTCTTTGGGCCCATTGCACACTAAGTATGACATGAGATCAGCTCGGTCCGAGATTTCCTCAAAACAGCACATATAATTATGTGTAAGTTGAAAAATTTTGACGATTGGATGAAGGCAAGTTTGCGACGGGCTTCGGGTATGATACAATTTTATAAGGTAAGTCAGGAACGTGTTCTGTGTCTAATGAAAGGAGGGGTGGTGGACATTCACTCATCATTTGAGCGTATTTTTGCTGAGAGATTTTGTCTGAAAATGGATGAAATCAAAATGAAGTATGTTGCACACATATCCTGCACAAACAGTTCCTCTCAACTTAATTCATTATCACACGGTTTCCTGGCAAAAATACGTCCAATTGACTCGGATGAGGGGGGGGGGGGGGGGTCTGTTGTTTGCGTGAGTGACAAGTTATTCTTATAAAACAGCCATGATGGTAGGGGGCTTCAATCCATGCAAGCAATCTTAAATTTACTTCACTCAGTGTCTTATTATCTTGCTAAGTTTTAGAACCAGAATGATCAGTTGTTGCAACCCTTGCAGGAAATGGAAAATAGTCATTTCATTGAGTATGCTGCCGATGTGATGTTCACCTTGAAAAATGATCACAATTTCTATGAAATAGAAGACACGATGAGAAATCCAAAATCGACAGTGAGTTCCGCCATTTCCGAAATCCGAATTCATCATTTTAATCCGACTTAAAGAGAGTTAGGTTTAAAATTAAACCACTAGGTACTCATTTTTCACGCGTCGACAAGAAACATATAAGTAATGCAAATCGATGGCTGAAGTTGGATAATTCGTATCTCTGCATAGACTGTTCAATGATAAACGGTTATGGCGCATCGAGCCCATATTCGAACTCAATCTCCATACGAAATAAAATTATATACCTTCAAAAAATTTGAATGAGTAGGTGCGATTCTGACGAAAGTTATCATGGCTACAACTGATTCGCTGAAAGAGACCGTCTGACTATTTTAAGTGGGATGATATCACTATTCGACCTCGTGGGAGCTCGTGTTGCCTTCACTGAAATTGAAGGCAAAACTGACATGGCGTTCATGTAATCTTTTCCCGTTTGCCGACAAGCTTTTTTTATATGATGTTTTCGCATGAGCGAGCGATGAAACCATTATATTACAATTTTACGATGATACCACTGCCCCACTTCTTCCTCATGTCTTCTTTCTATTTTTTTCTTCCTCTTCCTCTTCTTCTTACTCATTTCTGTATGCTTTTTACTTCTTTTCTTTCTCAGTGCTTTATGTTCTTCCTTTTCCTTTACTTTCTTTACTTTCTCCTCTTTCCTTCATCTTTCTTTTTTTCTCTCTCTCTCTTCTGCTTTTTCTTTCTCTCATCCTCCAGAAAATATGTATACCCTCACAGTATGTGTTTATATTTAAATTTTACGTATTAAGTTTCCTAACACCTCCAAACACCTATCTTCTAAGCTCTAATGATCCAAAAGTAAATACCGACATTTGAAAGCTCATTAAACGAGTAAATCTCAAAATTTAAGGTAATTTCCCGGTCCTCGAAATAAATAGCCTAGTTCTTGATCATCGTATTTAATTAAATAACTAACAATCAATAACTTCGCAGGTGCGCACCTCATTGAACATGTTAGTAGCTATGTCAAATGACACTCTTACCAAATTGAACAGTATTAAATCGAAGGAAGCTCGAAGGTATTTAAAAGAGTGCTCACCTCAAAAGAATGGAGCAAAACCAGATTACATGAGTATTGATGAACCTGAGAAGTTCAACGCCATTGATTTACATTTATTAATTACAAAAGTAAGTTAATTGACCTTTGTTATACTGCGGTGATTTTACGATAACAGAAATAGTTCAGATGCGCAGCATTTAAAGGTAAAAATACGCACCAAATTTTGATATTTCACTTTAAGAATATCTATAACTTTCTTTCACTAGCTTCAGTGCAAGCAGTTTAAACCAACAAGACATTAAATCATACCTCAGCCTTTTCTGCTGATGGTCGAGTCAAAAATAGCCATACACAAAATGGTGTCGATCATGTAACTACACGGAAAAAACAAAAATTAGTTCTGGGCACTAATGACCGTCAGTGGTGAGCAGTTGAAGGCTGACGTCTAAGCGCTGCACATATACAAGTAAGATTTCGCCATTATAATACGATCTCATGGCATGCGCAACTTACTCAGGAACAGCAAGTAAAACAAGTCATTATAAATTGTATCGTGCACTTCAAATTAAACTTTTAACAGCTTTAAAAGTATCAAAATGTTTAGCCGGTCTTAAAAATGCGTTTATTCAAATCTGTTTCAGATGAAACAACTGAGACCACTTTTGGACAAACTCGCATAAGGCCCAATTTAACAGGAGAAATCTTTTTTGATTTTTAGATTTCTTTTCTTTTAACTGAAGTGCTTACACCATGCCGAGTAATCCACCAATCCAATCCATTTTGGACCTTCTCCTGAAATTTATTTTGTTATTTATTTATTTTATTATTATCGAGTTCTCCACACAAAAAGAATGTTGGTCATTCAAAATAGAAAATTATAAATAGAACATTATAATTAACCCCCAATCTTTGAAAAAATTGTCTGGTAGAGGAAAAACAATTATTGTCTCTGCCCATTTAAAAAGTGGAAATATGCTAACAGGTAGCTAGATTCGTATACTCGTCTTCGGCGTATTAACTACCCATTCATTTCTTTCGAGCTTATTAAAAACATGAATTTATGTCAGACTGATTCTCAATCAGGAAAAAAACATAGAATCAAATAAGGCTCTGAGCTTTTTTCTAAAAAGAAAACCATATTTCTAAAAAGTTGTCTTCGAAGCCCACATAAAAGCAAAGCATGGAAAAGGTAAAAATTATAATTTTTTTAATAGCTGTCTGTGCTTTCCGGTAGGTTTGTTGTCCATCCAACAAAATTGAAGGCAAACTTAAAATAAGCGGCAACCCTTAATTTGATTTCCAAATATTGTTTTAATCGAAGTGAGGGGTAGATGAGAGCATATTTTGCGATATCTCGTGTATTGTAGATAATTGTTGGTACCTCACGTTTGATTTGTTGTCCATCCGGGTAGAGTGTAGGCAAATTGCGAAAAAACAAGATGGGAGGGAGAGGGTGCCGGGCAGTAAACTGATTAAATATATCAGGTCCTGCCAGGTGCAAATAAAAAGAGAGAACAGCCTTGAGAATCTTTAAAGGTCTCTTTATTTCATCTAAGATTTTGGTATACACTCAGACATTCCTTAATTTTCAAAATTCAATTATACTAGATAGCCTTAAGTATCAATGACTATCCTATAACGCAGGGTAAAAAATCATTGAATATTGCCACCCCTAAATCATCAAATACTCTATAACGCCCCTCTTCAAACGTATGTGAAAAACTTTTAAAAAAGTGTGATCATACCTCATTAGAAAAATGAACTACAGTTGATATAGGTAAGTGCAAGTATTTGGAAACAGTGCGCGTGACAGTGTAAACAAGGGAAGATTACGTAACCACTCAAATTAGCGTTTAATTTGAGCATTGTTAAAATGCCATTGAAAAAGCTTCACCGAGGACTTGATTTTTAGAGAGTGGCTCTAAGGCTGTGATATTGGGTTTTAGTTATTTACACAAAGCTATCATCAAACCTTTAAATAACCATTAACTTCGTGCAAATATCGATTCATTTTGCCTTGTATCTTTCGCTCAGAGTGAGGTAAGTCGACTCATTTTCGCTTCAAGTTCGAATATTTCAAGGAAGTCAATGGGTTTTTATGTTGCATCAGTTTAAAGTGGAATGACATTTTAAAAGCTTCATTACCTACTACCTACAGCCTTACGGAAGTTTAAATCACACATCACCTGTCCGACCTCTGGAAAAGTGTCACCAAGTGCAAAACATTTGATGAGCCGAAAATTATTGAGGGTGGACCAGAAATATTATATTTCAGTTTCTCAGTTCAGTAGCACCTCTGAGGCGGATTCTTGACTTAACCTATCTATGATAAGACCCAATTTTAGGACCAAATGAGTAGGTATTCTGTCTCTAAATATAGTAGTATAGAAGTTTGAACACTGTTGACTTTAACTTAAGGGTTTCTCGAGTATTTGACGGGAAAAAAGAGTTGAAATCATTCCTCAAAGAATGGTTACAATTTTTGCTAGTAAAAAAAAAAAAAAAAAAAAAAAAAAAAAACCCTAGTATTTTATCACATAAGAACATAAGTGCCTGATGCAGATACATTAATGTTAAGATATTTTTAGAGGCATATGACTGGCGCAACGCCGTAATGACGGAGACACAATTTTTTTCGAGTCTCTTGCTTTAAGTAGAACACTTTTGTTTATTATGTAACACTCAAATGATGGAAATTATCGATTAATCTTGATTTCAATTTCTTTTTGGTTGCAGATAGCTTATCAGCGTTAACATGCATTATCTTATCATCATGTCTGCATGTGTCGTTTCGCTTGAACGCACGTTTGCGCATCCCTCACCTGGTGAAAAACTAATTTTTCCCAATAGACAACACAACATGTCGTTAGACTCAGGTCGGAATGCGTATCCTTCCAAAGCACCAAAGAGCACGGGGAACTCTGGTGCTAGTCCTGAGAGTATACAAGATTTGGCCGCGGTAATTTCAATAAGTTCTCCGTTTAGATAATAAGCTTGGAAATTGTACACATCTCTGGTACAAAAAACCACATATCTCAGTTTACGACATTACACATCTCCTGTCATATAATACACTTTGAAATAAGTCCTGCTCATCGTTTTTGTACAAAGTTGCATTCAGTTGTTCTCGGTTCATTCGATAATGTTCTATGATTTGGTTTCGTGCGAAAAAATCAGGCAGTATTTTCTTGAAAAAATGAAAAACAGGCAAAAATGTTTGAACACTGCGATTGAGATTCGTGCATGGTTATGTCTTTTCTCCATCGATAATGTATTTACACGCTAAGCCACTCCTTAAGAAAAACGACACAATTCAATAACATCCTTTACAGTGCTAACATCTCAAAGTCGTGAATGCATATGTATGCGAGAATCAGGCAAAGAGATTTAAGATGGGGAAAAATTGAAGAACTATACAACAGCTTAGAAGTGGGGAAAGTACCTTGAATTTAATGGTTCTGCTCTAAGAAATTTATACCCTCACGTATAACAACGTTACAGGGAAAAAATACAAAAATAAAAAAGGGCTTTAAAAAAGTATTTAAAGTTAAAGTAGGTTTCTGGGGCTGCAACTTCTGCATATGCCATTAAAACAGAAATTTTTGAACTGTGTTTCTACTTGGTTGGAATATGAGGATGAGTCAGAAGATAGCGTAATTGATACACGCAGCGTGATATTTTAAAATGTACACAGTAGATTTTAGGTAGTGCACATGTTAGCGGACAAACCCGATTTTAGGACAAACTAGAATTTCCTAGGACAAACTCGTTTGCCGGAAGAAATCTCGTTCGGCCTAAGCACCTAGGATAAAGTAGTTTGGCCTAGGCCGGAACTAGTTTGTCCTGAGCAATTTAGTATAAACTAGTTTGTCCTAGGCCAGAGTAGTTTGTCCTAGGTGCTTTAGGAAAAACCTCGAGTTATAATTTTATTTTTTTCAATATGGTTAGACGGGGTAAAGTAAGGAAATGATAGGAAGATTATTTTAAATTCTTCAATGTAAATTTATTGCTTTAATTTTTAGTTTACCCCTATTGTTTTGTACATTTTAATGAGTTACTTGAAATATGAAATATTTTAATGAGTTACTTGATATTTGATTTTTAAGTTTGATCATCAGCAGCTATTCTTCGTCAATAGTAGCAGCATCTATCCCAGCACCTGGAAACCAAACTAGTTCGTCCGAACGGGTTCGGACTAAGCCGGAACTAGTTTTGCCTACGTGTTTTAGGAATAACTAGTTCGGCCTAGGCCCAAACTAGTTTCGCCTACGTGCTGTAGGATAAAGTAGTTTGGCCTAGGAAATTCTAGTAGGGCCCACGGTAACTAGGCCAAGCTAGTTCGTCCTAGGAAATTCTAGTTTGTCCTGAAATCGGGTTTGTCCGCTAACATACACACATTAAGTCGCAAGTCATCTGACGTATTCTATTCCACGCTTAAGTAGATTCCACAATTTTCTCGCCATAAAACGTCAAAGGATGCCTACCTTCTCATATTAGACTGATTTAGCCTAAAGAAGGAAACCTTTTTGGCTCATTTCAGAGATGATATGATTGTTAAGGATCTCTCTGCTGGCCGAGATGTAGGGAATTTTAGTTTTTGCCGGTCTAAGACCTGGATCAAATTATCTTCCTCCCATAATTTCAATGTATTATTTTGCGTAAATTTCTAGGATAAGGATAAATTCGGTTACATCATGTATGCTGGTCGAATTTTCTCCGCTCTGAACACCGATCCAAGGTACAAAGAGATGCAAGAGAAACTGAAAAATCCAGAATCGAGAGTAAGTGCTTACAAAAATCGTTCATTCACTCACAATCAGTCGGATGGGCAATTTATAGACGAAAATTTTATGGCAAGAGGGGCAGGGCCGGATAAAGGGGGTGGCCACATGGGCCCATGGCGGCAAATCTAAGGGGCGGCAAAAATTTGCAATTTTTTAAAGTGTAGGTATAAAAAGAAATTGGATTTATAAAAACAAAATTACAAACGAGAAAATGCTACAAAATCTCTCATTTCCTGAGAGTATAGTAATTTCTAATTTTTTCGTCTCTTAAGTGATACAAGAGACAGCAACCCCAATAAGTCGAGTTAAGAGAGAGACCAAACACGCAATTTGGCCTGGACCGGCGCGACTTAGAGAGAAATGATGACTTGGACTTGAGATGAAAAGGAGAAGCCCTCGGCGCGGCGATCAGCATGTAACATATGTTAGCGCCTACAAGACTGCACGAATACTTCATGCATTGCATCAAACACAGTGCGGTCATTGCGGTCAGCGTGAAACGGATAGCGCCTACAAGAATGCTTGAATACTTCACGCATTGCGCCAAACATAGTGCGGTCAGCATGAAACGCATAGCGCCTACAAGACTGCGTGAATACTTCACGCATTGCGTCCAACACGGTGCGGTCTGCGTGGCGCGGTGGCGGTTAAATCATTGAACCACATTTAGGTTTGTTCGTTCATAATTTTTTCGTTCATTTCTTATGAAAGGAAGGCCTTGTCCACACAGAGATAGGTTTACGGAACTTAACTTTCGCGCAAAGTTTCGTGAACTTTTGCTAGTAGTGTTGACAGGGCTTTCCCAAAAAATGTGTTAAACACGAGTAAAGCCGTCCTATTCACCCCTCCCTCCCCCGCTGGCACGTTCATTTGATGGTTTTTATCGAGTTTCAAAACGAATGAGAAGGGGGCGGCAAAATATAGGCGGCCCATGGGCGGCAAGTATTAGGTGAATCCGGCCCTGAAGAGGGATCCGTCTCGCTCCAGCTCACTCAAGGGATAAACGTCTCGCCAAAATATGTGCAGCCCTACCGTGTTAAAATTTGTTGAATGTAGTCGTGGGAACTTCCAGTAATTTGTAGAGCGTAGAGCTAAGCGATTTCTTTGCAACTACATTGACACCTGACTGAGACTTTCTCATTCTATGAATGCTTGGAATCCACTTTGACAATATGGGTCACTAACCCATGAACAAAATTTCACTTGCGAATATATTTTTTTCGAGAGCCAATTACGCGTAGCACGCGATGTGCACAGTGAAAACGCAAACAAGTAACTCAGAAGCCGAGAAATACGCAGTTCAAAAAGCGCAACTTTTCCGCAAATTTAAAACGCCTTGGTTTCGCGCCGAACCGAATGATGACAGCCGGCACCAATTTAAGGCGAGCACGAGTTTCTACGATTTCCGTCAAATGTTTATCTACTCTTCGCATATAAAAACAATAAAAAAGTTGAAACTATATCTTCAAAGTCAAAGCATCGAATATGATTTGTATTGTCTGTAGTAAACAAGCAACAATTCCACATCGAAATAAGTTTTATTTTAACAGACATCAGTCAAAAATGAGAGAAGAAAGCGATTTGACTGCCGCTGCACTTAGAGTACCTGTATAGCGAGAGTATGGAGAGATGTGAAACTCCGAAAACCCATCAGACCTTCACCGATGCTTCTGCGAATAAAGTTAGGGCCCAGAAATGCAGCCAACTTATGAATTTCAATTATCCAGAACGATTTACTAATACTGTTGTCACGAACCGTCGTTTATTAAACACGTATTTGACTCAGTTTTTGCATAAATTTACTCAATTTTGCGGAAGAACGCTCATTTATGTACATTCATGGCCATCTTGGTTAGAATTGGAATCTACAGACTGGCAGTGAAATTTTGTGTGTTAGAAGTTGGTTAGAAGGGTGGCTGCACTTTTGGGCCCTAAACCCTTCATGAAGCGATCTATCCATACTCTCGCTGTATAGGTACTCTAGCTGCACTTCACTAGCTCCCACCATTTTCCCGCCGGTCCGGTTCTTTTGAAATCCCTGTGAGTCCTCAGACTTTTTAAAAGCGGAGCTTGTCCACACTGAAAAAAAATGATATGCTCTTTTAGCACATAGGATGTCAAAAATGTGTCAGGTGATCCCAAGATGCTACCTTGATTGCTCACGCAGTTGAATTTGCATTCACAGGATGTAAAGTTAAGGATGTAAAGTTAACTGCGGGGGCAGTAAAGGCAGCATCTTGGGATCACCAGACACATTTTTGACATCCTAGATGCTAAAGCAGCATATTATTTTTTTCAGTGCAGGATTTTGGCTCTAAAAATACGCAATAAATCACCACGTTATCTACACGCCTGGTAATTTCAGACTATGAAATAAAAAAATAAAAACACATGGTTTATGACCCGTTTCCCTACACCGTGGATTATCCGAATAAGAATGAATTTTCAATGGTGGGAGGGGGGGAGGGATAATTCAATTGGCAATTCATAAAAACTTTGAATGTGCAATAACATCTCAAATAAGGTTCAAGAACATTCTGCAATACTCCCTGCATGAAATAAAAATGGTTTTGAATTACAAACTTTTCAAAAATTATGAACCCCGTCTCCTGAGATTGGATGATTTTTGAAATTGTAAATGCATGGAAATCTGAAATTAGAAAATAAATTGATTCTGGAACCATTTTAACCTCTCCAAATACAAGGGTGCAGCATAAAAGTCCCCCCCCCCAACGCTCATATTTATCTTACTTCTCCGCAACCTCGTGAAATAATTTTCCAAGAAAACATTCTCGTAATCGTAATTTCTGCCGGAACAGTACCGCCGAAAGCAAACGTTAGGCCACAGAAACTCAGGAGGCTGCACCATGTCCGCACAAATTTGAGACGGATATAATAAATTAGTGTTAAATTATGCATTGTAGAGTCGCGCACTACTTGATTTTTTGGGAGCAATGTCAAATACTACGCGTACAAAACTGGACAAAATCAAAGCGGAAGAGGCTCAAAAGTATCTGAAAAAATGCGAAAGTCCAAAGGATGGGACGGAGCCTCCAAAGCCAGATTATATTGACACGGATCATCCTGGGAAGTTCACTATAATAGATTTAAGTCAAGTCTTTACTAAGGTAAGAGCAATAGTTCATTTTAGTCATAAATGTTGGTGAATTTCGGTAAAAAAGAAGAATCAAATAGCGATTTTCCGATCATTAATAACAACATGCTTAAAACTCATTAGTCTATAGGAGACCTCTAGTGATTTTCAAAATTGTGTAAGTATTGGCATTTATTTAAAAAAAGACAATTATTAGACGAATAAAGTGACCACCAAATCTTTAGTTGGACTAGGAAAACAGGTCAAAAATAGACGCGATAGTTTACTTGATGCCAGACGAGCAATATGAACAACTCAAAACGTTCCTTCAAGAAGAGAACTATTCTCAACCCAGCATTTTTCTGGTCCTCCTTAGTACCTAAATAAAGGCAAGGTGCCTAAGTAACGAGTGAAATCTCCATGCACAGACCTTACTTATTAATCGCTCGTCTTACTAATGTTTCCCATTTTTAAGCCGACAAACAAAATTTCCTCATGTTACATTACAAATGCATGTTCAATAAATAATTTTAAGTGATAGAAAAAAAAGATCCATTTCAAAGCAATTGATTCGGAAGTAATAAAGTTACGAGAATATTGTTTATGAAAGCTCTCATGAAATTGCTGGAATGTACCATTCAAGTAAGTATTTCATGAATATTTTCCAGTTTGCAAGCATGCGATCACTCATGGAGAAATTCTTGGGAGGACAAAAAATGAATTAACACGCTTGTCTTACCCTCAATGTTGTTTTGGCGCTACCGTATTTTTTGCTGTAACTGTTGCCGTAAATAAGGAGGTTGGTTTCAAACGTCACAAAATCAATCAACAACATCTTTTAGCTTGCAAATCTTATCTTTTTCATCGCAAAAGAGTAAGTAAATGTGTTGTGAATCATTTTTGAACCGAATTTATCAAAATCTCAAGCAAAAAGGGTTAACACTATGCGGATGGCGAGGCTAAGTTATCGGTGAATGTGAAAGAAATATAAGTTTACCTACAGTCGGATTAACACTGACACACGAACATTTGTTGACTTCACTGGGTTTAAAATCAACGCTTACAAATTATCCTTCAAAAGACCAAGAGTGCAAAATAAAATAAGATTACTCTACTTAATTTTGACCATCCATGTATAACGCAATAACTTTCATTAAATTTTTCGCACCTACTCGCGGCCTCTTAAATAAATGTGTGCAAATTTAATCGTAGATTGCAATGGCACATTGATGGTATTACAAAGCTGAGTAGAAAATCCAAACTGAAGATTCGTTTCAAGCATCTGACTGTCTAATGTTTAGAGAATTATTAACAATCAGAAGGTGTAAGATGTCACCTGATTTCAAGAATTCAACCATTATATTGACCTTTTGAATCAAAGATCTTAAGTGTTCCTATATACCTGCGTTTACAGACCTACCTACTTATACGTGTTCCCGTACACCAAACACGGACTATTTTTCCCCCCTTGTTTATTGTTACGGTCTTGCAGTTAAATAAAATAAATAACTTATTTCTCAAATTCTTCTGAATAGCCAATAAAATTGTTAACTTTCAACTTCGGCAGAACGAACTTATGCATAGAAAATAAAGTTAGAACACAACTTATCTTAAATGTAAATTGTAAGTTGAGTGGGAAGTTTGTTACCTTGTTTATATGCGAAGCATAACTGCATGGCGTAGGAGATACATGGAGTCACCCGTCAATGTTTATTTTCGCAATGATACAAAATTATGGAAAATGTACAAAATCTTAACAGATATGAATGCAAATTTAATTCGATATTTTAGAGGCGAGTGAGAGAGTGTCAATTTTAGTGATGATATTAACTGGAAAACCCAGAGGATGAACTTGAATCTGTCATTTTTTTCAATATTTGATACTTGTCCAGACCAGCGCATCTTTCAGGGTCGATTAGTTTCATGAGACGAAAGCGAGCAGCGATTTCTTGACCTATTTCAAATCTATACAGTTTTGCCCTTCCAAATTGCTCCATTTCTTGAAGAAAATCGAGTCTGTCCATTATTCCACCGAGTACTGCAAATCACGAGAGAGGGTAAAAATAAATAACAAGTTACTGTTATTGACTGATTCGATTTTTGAATGTTAAATCATCTTACAGGAGCAATATTCATTGTTTTATATGTAAGAATTTCATAATAGGTTTATGTATTACAGGTATTACCTATTTTTTTAAATGATTGTAATAGGTATACTCCTAAAAGAAAACCTCATAGGGGCTGTCCATAAACTATGCCATTCATTTCATCATTATGTATTGTACATTTTGAGTAAAGAGCTAAATAGAAGGGAAAAAATAATCAAGTGCCAAATAAAGCAACATAAGTTGAAATCCAGTATTGTCACAAAACGCTAAGCTTGCCCCCCCCCCCCANTTGTCACGCTCGGTCAGCAAATTATAAAGACCCCTCGACTTCCTAGAGTGTTACGTAATTTATGGACAGCCCTCTAGAGGATGAGAAAAACTTAGGAAATCTACGAGTATCAAAATAATCATGACATTGAGGAGGAAATCAAAACGGAAAATTACAAAAATATGTATATTCATTGTGCTGTTCCAGAATTTTGGCCTCGACTTCATTTTTTAAAGCGGTTAGGAAACACGTACTCGGACCTCGTGTTTTAACTTCTCTCCCGAATCTGCGTGGCATCTTATTGGCAGCGTAGAGCAGAGCGTTACGAGGCCTCGCGGCATCGCGCCTTCAATTTTTCAGATGCAACACGGACATTCATCAAGCACGAATAGTTGTATCTCTGCGCCGTCATCAACGCGCGTCCTTTCCCTTATTTTATTTACTTATTGTGTTTGTTTCTGAAGGGCTACGAGGACAACACAGCCGAAGATAGAAGAGACGTAATCGGGTCTCATTTTTTAACTTTTCTCCCGAATCCGAGCGATACCTCATTGGCTGCATAGATCGTGGCATTATGAGGATACGCCTCACGCCATCGCACTCTCAATTTCGCGTATGCAACGTGGACATCCATCAAACACGAATAGTTGTGTTTTTGAGCTGACATCGCCACGCGTTTCAGAGGAAGATTTGAGGAGAGTTGAGATTGAGTCGGCTCAAAATATACTGTGATGTGTTCAAATAAATTATCATTTTGAAAAAAGAAAAAATTAAAGGTATCTCCATCGCCTTGAAGAGAGCACGTTTAAAAATTGGTATATTTGCGAGAGTTGTATCATGTGCCAGGGACTTTGATTTTGACGACCACTCCTAGAAAAACCAAGCCGGGTCAAATTGGCCCGACTATTCCCACTGGGGAAGTTACATACGTCGGTTGAGGAAGGAGGTGAGAAAGCAACAGTATTTTACAAAAAGTTGAAATTTTAAATAAAAAGTATTCATTTTCCTTCAAAAACGTACTTCAAACAACATTAACAATACTTCAAAAACTTATATACAGCAATTTATTTAAATACCGCTCACTTTGACCCGGCTGAGGACTTCGCTTTCGTTTAAAAAGTCGTGGACATCATCGTGCGATCTGCTAAAGAAAGTCAGAGCGCCTGCAATTCGTTTGGTATGCAGCACGGACATCCGAAGAACACGAATCGTTGTATCCAGACCTAGCCATTCAAAAAGCCGGAACCAGGTCCCCCACACCCATCGGTGGGCCCCCCTTTTAGTAAACTATCTTAGGGGGGGTCTGGGGGGACCGCCCCCCAGTAGGAGGGGGGTTCGGGGGGCCACCCCCGAAAATCTTTTAAAATTTTGCCTCCAATCTGAGTAATTTCATGCTATTTCCGCACTTATATTAGTGTATGCAAGATTTTTGCCCTTTCAAAATCTCAGAATAATTGCAGTTGTTTGAAAATGTGTAATGAGCCGTTATAAAAAAAAAAAAAAACAATATTCGACGTATAATTTTTTTTAAATATAAATAGAAAAAAACTTATTTTAAATATAAGTAGGTCTTTAATGCCTGAAGTAAACTATTAAATCAGTTCTGACGTGGGTAAAATTTTACCTTTGATGAAAGAGAAGGAAAATAGAAGGAGATAAAAACATATTAAAAATTCAGCTTATTGCACAAAAAAATATACATCTGAAATTAGATGAGGACAATGTTTTGGCAAAGGATAGGCTATCCCAAGGGCCGACGCAAGCCTGTCTGAGCCTCGAGCAAAATCTCAATTAACAAAATTATTTTACTTTTGCCGGCAGATTGGTAATACAAATGGATACTTTTGCGATTCTGGGAGGCCCTACCGCCTACCGGGCCCCCCCAGGCCTTGGGCCCCGGGGCTGGAGTCCCAGCAACCCTCCCTATGTGGGGGGCCTGGAACATCTAAGGGTTCATAAGTTGAACCTTTGGGCTGAACTCATTTATTTGTTTTACTTGTTATACTTTTTACTTTGTTTTATTTGTTATACATTCAAAATATACTTTATTGGTATCCTTACGCTCCAAAAATCTTTCATCATCCGTCTCTCCTGCAAGTGGATCTTTATCCTCGCGAAGTTTTGGCTGCCGTTTTCTGAGATCAATCTGTTTCTGAGAAACGATTTCACCGTAAGTCATCATACTTTGGAGCCTCTCTTTTTCAATTTCACTGTTGTCTAAAATTTAGCGAACAAAGACCAAACCAAAATTAGCAAATAAACAAAACAAAAAATAAAATAAAATAATATAAACAAATGACTAAAAATGATAAAACTCGGATCTAAGAGTCTGTGAGATTAACTTCTCCAAACTCCAAACCATGCAAAATCTTGTTTAACACTTTTTATTGTATTGTAAAACTACCAAACTGGGGATCTCGATTGCGATGTTCAGAAATATCTCCTCATATTTTATTTTTTTTTTTTTAAAGAAAATACTATACTTGAATTATTTGCGCTAAATTTTTAGGGAAAAATCTCAACAGAACGAAAAAATATTGAACAAAAGTTTGTGCAAAGACGATGATCAGGTCGCTTCTTCACAAAAGTAATGGGTGCCTGAGATCTGCAACATTGCAAACCGAGAAAATGTGGTTTTTCACTTTGTGTTTTGGCCGGCCAAACCGGCAAAATCGGCACTTTCAGTGCCGATTTTGCAAGTTTGCAACATTTTTTCCCCCTCTATTTAAATCCATTAAACATATCGATTTTAGGTGAGGCGAGCTGCCTCGCTAGGAATCGATTGTTTTCCATACATTTAAATTGAGTAAAAATAGGGTTGCCAACTTTCAAGAATCGTTACTGCACCATCGACATGCCTGATGATGACCAAAGTTTTGAGAGGAGCAATAGTTTAAAAAAGTTTGTTAACAACAACTTTTTTGCAGAACAAATCGCTAAACACGTAATAACTCATCAATCATTAATGGGCAAAAAACAACGCGGAATCCAAAAAATAACTTCTACACTACAGGAAGCTGTCGACAGTGCGAGGTTTAAGAGGTATTTCGTCACTAATGACGGCAGCTGGTTTTAAAATTAACGCCTTATTTTTCTCTACCATAATTTTGCTTCTCGTTGCAACTTAAGCGTATGATCTACAGATTTTTCTCAAACCAATTTTGAAACCATCTCGCGCCATACTCTAAATTTGTATCTAGGTATTATATTTCAACGGTATAAACTTTTTATGCTGCTGAATGCTGGGGGTGAAGCTGACTTCGGATGGGAAGCTGGATCAGGCCATTCGGGACCGTAATCTTCTAGGACGGAAAGCCATCGCCATGCTTAATGGGATCCTTTGGGACCAAAGGATTTCCAAAGACAACAAGAAGAGGATTTATAACTCGGTTGTCAAGCCTATTATCACCTATGGCAGTGAAGTGTGGCAGTTGAAGAAGCGGACCCAAGAAATGCTCAAGGCGACCGAGATGGATTTCTGGCGAAGATCGGCTGGAATCTCGAGGAGAGAACGTGTCAGGAATGAACGTGTCCGAGAGATAATGGGCGTTGAGGGGACGATTGTGCACGATATCATGACCAAGCAATTGGTATGGTATGGGCATGTGCAGAGAATGGCTGATACCAGGTTGCC